TATATATATATATATATATATATATATATATATATATATATATATACATATTTGCATAAATACATATACATGTATAATTTTATAGTGAATTTATTAACCAATATGAGCCTAGCCTAGGCCCGAGCCCAACCCGAGTGCATCAAATTATAGTGCAGGTTGCGCTTGGATTGGGAAAATCGGGCTTGACCTTGGCCTCGATATAGGCTTAGGCCTTAAGCCCGAATTTTAGAGTCGGCCCTGGGTTGACCATAAATTTGACCCAACCCGCCCGATTTGCACCCCTACATCAAGGTAAAAACGAATCCAAATAGAGGATTGGTTTGATTGCCTAAGTCAATGACAATTTTAAAACCATGCCAAGACACTAGGGGTAGATTCAAGCCGAGCCGAATAGTATGAGGCTTGAGCTTGAGCTCGGTTCGAGCTAAAACCTTGAGCTCAAGCTCGAGCTCGGCTTGGCTCGAACTCGATTTAAGAAAAATATTTTATAAATATTAAAGATTATATATAAAAAATATTTTTTATTCGATATTTACAATAATAAGAATTATAATATTTTTATTATATATATTATTTTCTATAATTATATTATATATATATTCGAGCCGGCTCGTGAGTCGAACTCTGTAAGGTTCAAGCTCAGCTCATTTATTAATCGAGCCTGTAATTTGGGCTCGAGTAGCTCGTGAAGAGCTCGGCTCATGGCCCCTACGAGACACCTTAGTTTTAGCACGATTGCCATCACCTTCATCGCATTCGCACCCCCACCTTGGGTGAATGGATTTCTTTTCACCTCAAAGGCTCAAATGGGTCAGCTCCACTATTTTAGATTCTCATTTCACGATACATAGGACTATGTTTGGCCCCTTTATTTCTCGTTTAAAGGTGGAGTACATGTACATGGTTTTATGTATTTGGACTTTTGCAATGAGAGAGATATTGGGATACCGGATCTGCTCCTTACACCAACCTCATAGACACATCCCATCGTGCATTGGGAACATCTCCAATACTTGGCTTGTAGGCCTTTGACTCTAGATCGTACTCACAAGCATGCTTATTAAAGATTTTAAAAATAACATGAAAATGGGTGGGGGAGGGGGCTGAGAAATTAAAGAAATAAAATGAAATAAATGAAGGAAGGAAGGAATAAGAAATAAAATGAAATATCTATTAGTTTCTCTCAATCTTTCTCTCTCTCTCTCTCTCTCTATATAGATATATATATTGTGATATCAGATTTGAGATCTCATCTCAACCCCCCATCTATGGATCTCATTTTCTCTCTCTAATATTCCCTTAAAAAATTAGAACAATTAAATAAGTTTTCATTAAACCACGAACCGTTGTCCAAATTGAACGGTTTAACGGTTCAACTATTTGGCTTAACGGTTCTCTAACAAAATCAACATTTTTTTTTCCCAAAAAAGCAGTTGAATCCAGACCTAAAATATGACTGGTTCCCAGGTAAAATGATATGACCATTTGATCCAATCTGGTTTTCACAACAATGGTGCTTATTATAAAAACACTTAAAAAGCTGGAATTTTGGACTTCTTTAATAAATACTGGACTTATTTCCTACACGGGAATAAATGGTTATTGGTTGGCGTGGTCCATACCCAAAATAAGTGCTTTATAAACATGGCACTGAACACAATGGAATGGGCGGAATAATTGGAATTAGGCCTAAATGATGATGGTATGTCTGGCCTGGTATAAATCTTTTAAAATTGTGGTAGAGGGAAAATGACTGAACACCGAATAACAAATGCATACATACTTAAGACTCGGGATCACATGCCAATAAAACAACTTCCAACTCTTTATCAATATAATCTCATACCGCACATCTCACATACAGTGGGACCTTATGATGACTCCGGATCTTTTATTCATGAGAACTTTGCCCAAGCCTACTCACAATACATTATCTCTCGTGAAATGGGAACATTCTCCCTTGCTTAATATTATGCAGAAGATGAGATGTGTGGTGGCGATGAATGTGAATAAAGGTATAGTGAGCAGGAGATCTGAACTCCTTAGGATGCAAGATCTCTTACCAACGAGAGTCTACTCACAAGACACTACTCCCATGAATTGAAAACATCTCCCCCTACATAATACTACGTAGGAGAATAAGATATTCTCCATATGTAACTGCAAACGTGGGCAGGAGATCCAGACTTCCTACCTTAGAGGGTTGGAAGATGTTTGGTTGGCAGAAGATCCCAACTCCATATTTAAAGGGAAGGAGCTGTCCAAGTATAATGTCCCAATATCCAAATCCAAGTTGCACTTGCACGGATGAAATTCTCACATCCAACTGTAATTGTAACGGTCCCTAACGGTTTGTGCGTAAAAGAATAATATCCCGTCAAACCAACCGGTTAGAATCTTTCCCCAGATTGTATCGTAGTTCATGGAGGCGGCCCCGCACGACTGCATCTTATGACCATCGGATGGGAATACGACCATAATATGCACTATAATTGTCCAACACCCAATCAGTCCGTGTCGATTGTCGAGTCTCGACGTTGCTTTTGCCTGCTGCACGGCCCAAACGAAGGAAGGAGAAGAGTCGGTCCGAACTTTGAAGAATCCAACAAAGCTTTTCGGATTCTCGATTGACGGAGGCGTCTAAAGACTAACGTAACGCGTGCGCTTCCGTGTCTGAACTGCTCTCAATCAAAGTCAAAATATATGGATTAAGAACATTTAGAGCTAAAATGCGCCGGAGGATCGTTGTTCCCAACGAGAAGCTATTTCCTCTTTATCTTACATTTCCTCGTGTCAAGTCTTCCGAGTTCCGAGTCTCCATCCATCACCAGCTCTGTCAATCTATCTTCCCCAACATCGTCTACTCTTCAGCTCTCTTTCAATCAAGTTCAGAAACCCTATTTTCGTTGATTTTCCGCGGGCGAGACCATTTATCTCTTTGATTGAGGAGTGGCAACTGTTTTTCTACAAAAACTCGGGTTCGAAATGGTTCAGATAAGAGAATTGTATCCTTTTTATCCGTAGAACGAAGAAAACTTCGAGCTACTTCGATGTCACATGTGTATATTCGGTTCACAATGATTAATATATTTCTCTGCTGTTCCTCTGATTTAATATCAATTTCAGTTTATACAATTCCCTGTTAATATTTATGGAGGAATCGTAATGGAACCTGCTGTTGGCTTAACAGTTGAAAGAATTTTGGTTGTTAATATCGGATGTTGCTAATGTCTAATCGTTCTATCGTACTGTTTTTTTTTATTATGCTAATTATTAGTTAATTTTTTAAGTCGTACTTCTTTTATCTAATTTATGTCATTCGTGCTTATTTTTCTCTTACAAAGGTGTTAAGGTAGTTCTGAAAAAAGAGGTATTGATGTTTTTACTTCGCATCAAAGACCTTAAATTGTTTTGTCTAAGAGCTTTCCTTGACTTGAACTTTTGCTGATGCCCTTGGCCTAGTCGGATTGTCATGCCTATGTCGTTGGATGAGGTCAGAGAATCATTGCGTTTGATTTTTATTTGATCATATAAGTTGTTTTTGCTTTTCTTCTAATGCTTCTTCAGTTGACACTTGTTTGCAGTATCAGATAGCTCAAATGTACATGGTCATGAAGATGCAGCAACAGAATACAACGAGTAATGAAGGGGTGGAGGTTTTGGAGAACAGACCTTTTGAAGACGAGGTATTGGGAAAGGGGCAATACACATCAAAATTTTATCACTTGCAGAGGTACTCCTCAGAGAAATGCGATAACATTATTGTTGCTGTTATCTTTTGTAACCTGCTTGTCTATTGGCAATATATACAACCATTATCTCACAGTAGGACAGAACTGAGTTAATGACCAATTGACTTGGCACATTTATACTTGAATAATTTATAAGACTTAATTATCTCCTTGCATCAGCATTGAAGTCTGGAACTGTTCAAATCTTACTATAGTAATCTATATCTATTGCATGATTACTAGGTACCAGAAGTGGGAGTGTCAGTGATTAATATGTTCATTTCTATTGCATGATTACTAGGTACTAGAAGTGGGAGTGTCAGTGATTAATATGTTCATTTCTATTCATGCATCATTCGTGGACTCTGCTAAGTAGATTGACCATACCAGAAAGTACCACAAAGGATAGTGATAGGCAATTCAATTATTAGTTATAGTAGTCCGATAAATATGTCTTCAATTACTTTATCTGCAAAAAGTTGACCAAACACATTATATCTCTAGGGATTCTGTATTTTGGATTCAGTCTACTCAACAAAGCTTTGTTCCAATATATGGGATTAGATGCATGACTCGTGTTTCACAATTCCACTCTATGAAGGGTCATACAGAGGAACCTGAAATTTTTGAAAGTAATATGAATCAAGCAGCAAGAATGAGATACACATATAAACTAACAGTATTGTGCTGTTCTTAAAGGTTGAGGCCCACATATCCTACTTCACTTTGAAGTTTGAACTAAATCATACTAGTCTATGATGCCTGGGTGCAGATGCCAACATGGACATGGATACATATATGGGTGTCACATTTAATATGCCTATGCCATGCTTCTGCATTTGGTTTATTGAAGCTAAGCAACCTAAATTTAATTAAAATTCTAATATATATATATTATATCTTTTATAGTATAATTTGGTAAAAATATCATTTTATGTATCTTAGAAGTGTTAAATTGTTAACACTATAAAGTATACCGTAGAAGTGGTAAGTTGTTTGTTGCTTCACAGAAACAACACCATGGTTAACCTCTCTTTTATCTGCACCTTTTACTTTTCCAATAGAAGACTTACAATTTCTAATTCCATTCACTAATTTCTACAGCAAGGCTCCTGCTTGGCTCACAACTTTTGCACCGTCTGATGCTCTCCTCATGCAAGAGGAAGCTTGGAATGCATACCCAAGATGCAAAACAGGTTTGCCTCAGAAATAATCCTCCCATGTTTACTTGTCCTTTTCCTTTCCTGAAGCTTGTACTGATTAATACCTTCTTTGATTCCTTGAAATTGGATGGGATATTACACAGTTATCAAGGTAAAATCTTTTACTTTTATGATTCATGTTTTCACACTTCCTGGTAGCAAGCAAACCTTTGGATTTTAGTAAACACGAATGATCCCTTTCTTTCCTTTAATTTTTGCAGTGCCCTTACTTTACCAGGTTCTCTTTAACCATTGAAACTGTTCATAAAGCTGATAACGGGTGCTCAGAGAATGTAAGTTTCTTCAAAAGTTTTAAGTAAGATTATTGTATCTCCTGATTTTTAGGACTCTTAGCTAAATTTATACTTCAGATATTCATTCTCCAAAAAAAAAAAAACACATAGCCCTCTAGACATACAGGCAGAAATAATCCTTTTATATTAAGAAAATTAAGAAGATTTCAAAGAAGGAGGTCCAAGACCATAAACATTTAAACATTGATTTCTTATTCTTTCTCATTCATCTAGTTGGACCCACCCAAGATGGAAGTCTATCGTTCTTTCACAATTGACGAATAGAAGCCAGTGGCTTCAAATTGATGCCAAAAGAGAGTTCTGGAACAGTCTTTAAGGTTAGGTTTGGTTTGATAGAAAAAGAGAGAAAACAGTGGAGGGTGAATTCTTAAGAAATTTCACAAAATTCCTTAGAAATTTCCCTCAACTTTCTGTTCTCTCTTATTTTCTGTCAAACCAAACACAGCCTAAGAGCTATAAATTATTTAAATTTCATTCCAGTTTTCCAAACAGATATGGTAGACAATTGCTAGGAAACCTACAGCTCCTTTCTTTATTTATATTTGATTCTCCAGGAGTTCTGTCTCTGAAGGAATGGTCCATTTTGAAGGTTTACAGTGGAAACTTAAAAAATAGTAGCAACTGGAAAGTTCAAAAAAAGAACCCCAAATCTGTTTTGTTACATTCTACAAACCCTATACAAAAAAAGGCAAATAAAGCCTGTAGAGAGTGAGATGGAGAAATATCTTGAATTCAACTCTTAGATTGTGGTGAGGGGTGACAATGGGGCTGTTACTAGATGTTTTGCATTGCAGTGGACAAAGAGGTTGATCTAATTAGATACACAAGAAAACATGAAGCAGAAATATCACTATGTGATATGTGATATTTTTTCTCCAAAAAATCACTACGTGATATTTTTTCATATTTTTTCTCCAAAAAATATCACTGCGTGATATTCATGTTCCATGATTGAGAGGATAATCTGCTTGTATTTTTTTTGGGGAGGTAAACTGATTGAGTGGGTTAGCTCCTGTTCCTAGCTTGATGAAAGCCCTAAAATCAGGTGGAAATGTCAAATTTCCTAGATTTTTATGTTCTTTTCCCCCATTGTATTCAATTGAATTAAACAAGTGAAGCTAAATACTGATGGTTTGATTTCTCTTTGGTTGTTCTATTTTAATTTTGCTTATTCACAAACTAGGTGCATGGTTTAAGCAAGGATCTATTGGCAGCAAGGCAAGTGGAAATTATTGATATAGCTTCTGCTGCAAGGGACTATTGGAGTTATGTTGTTGGGTCCAATAACATGGACTTTACCAAATTCAGATCACTGAAAACAGGCCGTGGGCCTCTTCTGGAGGGATGGCAGGTTTGTAAGTTTTCCATTAAATGTTTATTTGAGAAATCTGCTATTTCAAAATCATTCTACACATCTTGCTGTATTCTAATGATGGATGGTTAGTTGATGCTAATATATAGCAGTCAATGAAGTATAGTTGTTGAAATGCTATGATTTACAATACAATTCATGATCTGAGTTATGAATCCCAAGGGTTTCAATTCGAATATCACATCAGAATCTTTTTCTTAAAAAATCTCATGATTTATAATTCATACAATTTGAATCATTGCAGTTGAGACCTAGTATTTGTTATGGGCCCGAGAATTGGATCTTGTCACGGGGAAAACCTCCTGTTTTCCCTTGTTCCTCCCTTTTCTTGAGGAACCTATTTTGGCGCTTTAATGGTGATTTGTTCAAGAGATCACCAACTCTCCTCACTCTTTTCTTGACTGAAAATTTCGATGCCTTTATTGAATAATATCAGCTCCTTAAATAGGAGATTACAAGAGATAAGAGTCCTACTTTTAGGAAGAGTCCTTGCTAATTAGGAAGATTCCCTACTAATCTATCTTACTGAACTGATAAGATAAGATAAGACTGAATTGATAAGATAAGATAAGACTCCCTTAATCTATCCTACTGAACTGATAAGATAAGATAAGACTGAACTGATAAGAGAAGATAAGACTCCCTTAATCTATCTTACTGAACTGATAAGATAAGATAAGATAAAGACTGTATCTAGCTAGAATTAGATAAGATGAGAATCAGCAAATCTTGCTCCCTTTACTGCTGCTGCCGGCGGTGATATGTCATCCCAATAAAAGCGTCCACATCAGTATTCCATTTTGTCATTTCATTGCTTCGTTTATTATTATGTTCTTTACAAGAGACATTTATTTTAAAGTCCTTACTAGAATATTATTTAAGTTATTTACGAACCCTATTGAGTTATTTTCCATGTACCCTGGAAATCTGTGATCAACATTGGTTAATGGCCTTTTATGTATGCTAAAATCAATTAACCCACATATGTAGTGCAACCAAGTGTTTATTTCATAGAAAGTGAACTGACCTAGAAATAAAAAAATATTGAAATAAGGCTTAACATGACATTATGAAGACAAATTTATTCACATGCAATGTCTTGTTTATTATGAGAATAATGAGGGTTGTTTGGTTAGTATGCCAGTTAGACCATCAATTTTTATTTTCATTATCTCTTTAATCCTTGTCTCAACTTGATTGAAGGTTTATAAACTATGTCTCCATGTTGTTATTGCATAGGATAGGTGTGATCCAGTTATGACGGCGTACAAGTTGGTGACAATAGATGCCCCATACTGGGGATTTGGCTATCGCCTGGAACAAACTTTCCTTGCAGTAAGTATCTGATGTTTGAAAGATTGAATACTGAACTATTGTCCTCCATACTCTTGCTAAAGCTATCATGGGGCATCTAAAAAATTATTAGTGCATGACCATATGCTTCTTTTATAAATATAAGTTACGTTATGGAGGATATATTTTCAATTTGTCTTTTGGTAGCTGATTAAAAATGTCTTTTTGTAGTTGCTTGATTCTAAGAATTTCTTGTAACTTTTTTTGGCAGGCAGGAAATTTAGAGGTAACATGGGCAGGGCTTTTTATATAAAAAGGAACTGTAGACTTCTAATTCTAAGATTTTTGTTTTAACCTTGCAAAGTTTGTGTTGATCAAATTACAGTAATTTAGTAAAAGCTTTGATTTTTCAATTTTGCTACCTGGCTAACCTCTCAACAATGGAATTTTCATTCAAGTTGTTTCAACTTAAGGTTGCTTGTGATATCACTGATGTGCTGAATCCTTACTGTGAGGACATCTAAGTACTTAATCATTAGATTATTAGATAAATCAATTTCTTATTAGGAATGCTTCGATTTACTAAATAAGTTGATAAAAGCAAAATTTTTCGTCCTGTATTTGTGGCCTGTGCGAGTTCCCTGATGAGGCTAGGCAGCTAACTGATTGGTATTATCTTGACTCTTGGATGCCAATGTAGATGATTGAAAGCATATTTCAGGCAATAGTTTTGAAATGCATATTACATGTAATTTTTTCCTGAACTGTACCTCCACTTGAATAGAAAATACAAACAATTTTTTTCCCGAACTGAACCTCCAATTGAATAGAAAATACCATGATTTTTTGACATCATGTTTTGAACTACTAGGAACAGAGAACTAACAAAAAATGAATAATGAATTTGTGCTGTTAACTCTCTTGTTGTTTGTCTTAATCATCATATTAAGGAACAATCATGTTTCACATATATAGTCATTGTAAGCTTATCTTGCTGCATATAGCCACTTGAACCTTAGGCCTTTAAATTCAAATGAGATTTTTCTTCCAATGGGGACAACCTATCAAAACATTCTGGTAATCTTATATCAAAATAAAAAAAAAAGAAAAAACTGCATATTTTCATTCATAAATTTATTTTCTAAGTTTTGTTATAAACATTCTTTTGATGACAATAAATAAAAACTTCCTTGCCACAATCAATTGTAATATGCAGGTTTCCTTTCCAAGTCAGCCACAATCATTTTTAACTATAGATATGTTGGTGCCTTAGAGGCCATTGCTTGGTGCAATAAGAATGTAGGTTCAAATCTGTGAGTGACCACTTTGTGCAAAAAAATGCCAAAGGTTAGGTCTGTATCCAGTTTACTACTCCCAAGACCCTTGATAGTGAGGACCATCATTGGGTTATGGTCCTTAGATATGTTTATGCCCCCATTATACTTGAATTAATCTTCTTACTGGAGCATTCCTTATGTGCTGAGTATTTACCTTTTTTTCATCTTCCTTTCCTACAGGGTGAAAGAGCACTTTTCCTGGAAAGCCATGCCAATTGCTTTGCTTGGATTGATGAGTGGTTTGGGATGACCATGGAACAGATACGTGAGCTCGAGCGACAAAGTGATTTTTCACTAAATAAGGTAGTAAAGCTCTAAACTTGATAACTTATCCATGACATATTTGAAATTGTCAATGTATTATCTTTTTCATAAACAAAAAAGATAAAAAATAGCTGTGCTCTAACAAATAATAGTGGAAAGTTCAATTTATGCTTTATTTTTCATCCTTTGATAGTGAAGCTTTGCTATTTAAAATTTAGTTGATACTTCTATTTTAGATTTGTGCCTGTATTGGACTTGTGAGTTGTGATGTGTTCTGGATACATCACAGGGTACATATTCTGCTTACGTGAATAACAAGAAATCTGGGTTATCAAAATTAAATGATAATTTGGTGAACTTATTGCAATTATCTTGCCATTGACATTTATATGATTTGAAGGGAAACTGAAAAGTGGGCAATAGCACCCAGATTTGGAGCAGTTCGGATTTCCTACCCACAAGAACCCTAGCCACACCTACCCACGCCTCACTACAGCTATAAATTGAGAACATCTCCCATATTTTGCATGTTACCATTCATGGGGAGATGTTCCCAATATACAGCTGTAGTGTCATGTGGGTATGTGTGGGTAGGAAACCTGAATTGGATTTGGAGACTCAGCCTCAAACCAGAAGTTGGTTTTCTCATTCCTGAGCTAGCTGTCATGGTTTCTATTTTTCATTAACTTTAAATGGACCCATTAAAAAATCAAAATAGTATTAAGTTTGTGGTCAATTGCTTGTCCTTTCTGAATGCTCAATAATTCCTATCTGTTGATTTAATTGATCATTGTCTTCCTTTTATATGTTAAAATTAGTCCATGCTGTTTTGATACTTCTACCAGGCCTTCTATTGGATATTTGGCTGTATATTGTATACCAAGATATGGTGTACCACTCTATGCCCTTGGAGCATGTTGTTCTGTTTGTCATGTAAAGAATCCTTCATTTTGAAAATTAAGCTATGTATATAGAAATATCAAACCGCTTGTCTTAATCCAGCTTGCAGCCTTGCACTTCTGGTCCCAAACCTGGATATGGGAGCATTATGTTAGGTTTGCACCTGGCTGAGAACCTTTCCACCAAACTTATATAAACAGATAAACATGTATTTGCAAACATCAAATTGTATGGTATTTACATGCTTCATAAGAAACCACCCATGTGTACCTTGGCACCCAATTTTTAGAACCAGGACTGAAGTCAGGAGTTGATTTTCCCATTTTGTGAAGTTCATTCTTGATAGTCAGTATGGTGCCTAGACTAGAAGATTTGCTATATCTGTTAAAGTTCTAAATAGGATTCAGGATTCCCTTTACCTATGAGGTGAAGAAGGTGTTGATTCTTTCTTCCCTACCTAAATTCCATATGCTAGTCATACAAAAAATTTCTGATTTTTTGCAATTATGCATATCTGATTGCATGTGTCATACTTGTTTCATGCATGTTTTGTCTCTTTTCCTTAGGAGTTGTGGATCGATTAATCATATATATATTTGTATTGCCCCATTATTAACCATCTGTATTTGTTTGGCTATCTTGGGTTAGTCCATTAGGTCCATTGGTTGGGTTAATTGGGAAAAGTGGGGGTATTTTGGGGATCCTCAAGATCACAAATGGAAGGCCAAGATGAATTGACTTATTGCTTAATTGGAGGGGCAAATGAGAGTATTTTTTAATACAGTTTAGTGGCTCAATGTTTTTGGAGTCGTCTTTGGATCCAGCGGTGATGTCTAATAGGTTTAAAATTATGTGGATGAGGGAGCTTCAGGGGTTGTAAAGCCTGAAATGGAATCTTGGATTGATTATGGGTCAAATGAGGGGGATTTGTGATGGAATTTAATGGGTGGATATTGCTGATCAAAAAATATTTAATGGGTGTATATTTTTAAGTGTCTAAAATTCAGTGGTGGCATTTGATTGGTCTAGAGTAGATTTGGGGAGGCAAATTTAAGGTTTTAGGGGTTTGGCCAATCGGAAAGGCTGAAATTGAATCTTTGTTTAATCAATGGTCAAATGTGGGAGACCTTGAGTGAAATTTGATGGCTGGATGTTTATAGTTGTTTGGAGTTCAATGGTGGTGTTTAATTGGTCCATAGAGGTTTTGGAGGGGCAAATTTAAATGAAGGTTTGAGGGTTTTAGCTAATGGGAAAGGAAAAAATGGAATCTTGGTTTGATGGAGAGGGGGTTCAAATGAGGGAGATTATGGATGAAATTTAATAGGCAGATATTTTATAGTGTTTGGAATTTGATGGAAAAGTTTGATATTCAATTAGGTGGACAAGATGGGTGATCTTGTTGCACAAAGTATTCAAGGCTAAAGTTGATTCAGGGGTCAAGTGGAGGAGTTATGATAAGAACTGTGGCAGGATGGTAGATATTGGGTTCTTGGATCTAGTGGTAGGGTTCAATTGGTTGAAAAGTGTGTCAAGTGGGAAGTTTTTGGGGTGTGGGGTTTTTGACTTGTAAGAGTTGCTAAAATGGAATCTAAGGTCAAAAGGGATGAGATCATTGGAATTTGGGGCTGAAACTCAGTATGGGGGGGGGGTATTTCAATCTTCTAAATCAAGTTGTTGGATCTGATTAATGGTGGATATGGTAGATCTTTTGGCTTGGGCTGATCTTGTGTTTGACTTCAGTGTTTTGAGGATGTGAGTGAGGTTTGATCTAAGAATGGTGGTTATGGGGCACGGGTTTGATGTTTTACTAGCTCTTTTAATTTGGATTGTTGGAAAGGTTTCACATAAAATTTTGGTTGATCTGTGGAGTGTAATTGTGAAATTTGGAGTGTGATTGGATTTTGGTTTTTTAGTTTCAAAGGTGATATTTGATTGACTGATTGGGGTGTTAGGTGTATCAAAAGAGAATCAAACGGGTTTGGCTGGCTTTTCTTTTATTTATTTTGGGGCTTCTTTTTGGGGATTTAGAAGGGTTGTGAGGGTCTTGGAGGTCATTTTGGTTATTCAAAGTTTGGCTTGGGCATTTTGAAGGGGGATTTAGGGCTATTGGAATGAATTTTTGGGATTTGCCTCAAGGTTTCATTTTAGGGCTTCAAGGCTGATATTCGGGGTCTTACTCAGGGTATTCAAGGTGAGTCTTTTTTTTTTTTTTTGATCAATAACAGAAACTTTATTAAGAATTATGAAGCTTTAGGTACAAAAAAGGGGGGAGATAAAGAGTCTTATCTCCCCATCAGAAAATTACA